CTGCTACACACAATCTGGCTTCACAGTCTTTCCTTTGAAGTATCAGTGGAAACCTCCATGACCCCAGTACTCTTGCATCTTGTATGAATACAAAACCATTATCATATGGTTAATAACAAGATCTGATGCTAGTGTGAGCTTTACCAGGGCTCACATGATCATGGGCCTTTGGGAGACATTTCATATTCAAATTATAGCAGTGGTCTTGATAATATTTCCATACACACACACACACACAGTATGTGTATATGTGGTGTATATAAGAACACACAATAAAACATATTTATGATGTTTTTATTGGGACACATGAAGAGGATTAAGAAAAAGCCTCAGTAAATATATGGGTTTACTTTACTTAAATGTCTCCAGGAAAAGAGGTGATAAATCATGATTGTCATCCTTTTCAGCCATATGCAATTTGCCTGCATAGTAATTTGTTATACTGATATACTTTGAGCTAATGATGCCTGAATGTGAATATGCAAAAATGAAAAAAAAAAGCATTTGACTGAGGGTTTTGCATTCAGTGTGATCTCACTCATTTCTTCTTTCCTCCCTTTGTAAATGAGAGTCATGATGCCAAAGGGCATGTTAGAATCCTAAGTTTTACCCTGGGTACAGATGAGATAAAGAGGCCAACATTATAAATCACCTTTTTAAGTATCTAAGATTATTTCCCATGTTTTGTTTTGTTTAAGGAAAGGGGGCTTGTATGTTTGCTTCTGTTTTTATAATCTTTGTTGTATAATATTGAGTTCATCACCTGTTCCTCAGTTCCTGGCACATAATCATTATTGATCTATGCAAGGATATCTAGCATTTTTATTTATTTACTTAGCCTCTTTCCAACATTTTCTTCCCCGTCATACACAAACATTCTAATGTAATTGATGTGATTGTTTATATTTGAATGTGTCCTTTAAAACAATGTTTGTATTGATATCTTCATTATATATTGTTTCTTACTTTTTCCCTAAATTATACATATTTTCTTTTACCCATCCATGTATCCATGTTATATGTATCTATAGCCAATTGCTTTTCTCTCTCTCTCTCTTTCTCTCTCTCTCTCTGTCTCTGTCTCTGTCTCTCTCTCTCTTTGGTACCGGGGATTGAATTCTGGGGTACTCGACCACTGAGCCACATATCCAGCCCTATTTTTAGAGACAGGGTCTCATTGAGGTTGCTTAGTGCCTCAAAGTTGCTGAGAAGTTGCTGAGGCTGGCTTTGAGCTTGTGATTCTCCTGTCTCAGCCTCCCAAGCCGCTGGGATTATAGGCGTGTGCCACTGTGCCCACCATAGCCCATTGCTTCTTATTAGCACTATTGTTGCATAATATTCTTCCATATCTAACCTGCCTGTTCTCAAAATTTGAACATTTTCATCCTGTACATTTCCTATTATGGACCTATATGAATATTTTTTCAGGATCATTTTCAGGAATAGAATTGATAAGTAATTTTTATGTTAAGTAATGGCAGATTCCCTTCCTGAGTGGATGCACCTCAGCTGTAGTGGATGAAGTTTCTGTGTCCCTGAAACACTACCAACATGTCGCATTTTCTAGATTTCTAATTTTTTCTGTTATAGAACTAAACTAATATCTCATTTTAATTTTCATTTCTTTTACTAAAAAAGGTTTTGTCATCTCTTCATGGTTGCATACATCTGGGCTTTTCTTTCATGTAACTTGCCTACTCTTATGCTTTATATATTTTTCTGTTAGTGCCTTCTTTTCTTCTTGAGTTGTAGGAGTCAATTCTATATTCTAAATAGTAGTTCCTTATTCATTTTAAATGTTGCACATACTTTCTCCCATACTGTTATTAACTTTTAAAAAGTCTTTCACTGCCCATAGATCCAAGGTATTCTGTAGTATTTTCATAGAAACTTTATAGTTTTACCTCTTATATATAGTCACATCTAGGGTGCACTTTTGTATATTGTGTTACATAGGGTTATGATTCTGTCTTTATGTAATGATACTGTTTCCTCCAGCATATTTAGTACATATCTTATATTTTGTCCATCAATTTACAGTGCTATATTTATGCTGTATTAGGCTCCCATCTATATATGAGTTTGCCTTTCAGCTGTGTTTTCCCCCATTTGTCTCTTTTTCTGTTCTTGTGGTAGTACTATGAGTTTTTATTTGTTCCTACAGCTTTGAGTAAATTTTGATACCTAGTAGAACAAATCTTCCTCTGTCTAGTCTTCTTTTTTTAAAAATTTGATTTAGTTATTTGTGGGGCTTATTTTTCTGTTTGGATTTAGTATAAGTTTGTTGGAAAATCCACTTTGAATTTGATTGAGACTGGGTTGAATTTATAGGTTAGTTTGAGGGATAATTGCCATCTTTGTAATATGAAGTTGTCCCATGTAACAACAAAGATGTCTTCATTTCTGTCTTAGTTCATTTTCTTTGTTGCTATAACAGAATACTTGATACTGGGTAATTTATAAAGAAAATTAATTTCTCAAAGTTCTGGATGCTAGGAAATCCAAAAACATGTTATTAATATCTGTTTATCATCTACCAAGGGCCTTCCTGCTTGGCCTGATTAGAAAGTATCACATTAGAAATGTAGCAAGCTGGCCACAGAAAGCTTGCACTGATAACAAAAACTGTTCCCTTGATAACTCTAGTGACTGGAATCAATTGGGTAAATCCATTAATCTGAATACATACATTAATTAATTCGTGAGAACAGAGCCCTCATGACCTAACCCCTTCTCAAATGTTGTACCTCTTAAACTCCATTAGCATATGACTTTGGGGATTAACATTCCAATGCATGAAATTTGGGGAACATATTTAAACCATAGCAATCTCTTTAGATTATCTTCTACATCTTTTATTAGGGAGTTAACTCTAGAGTTAAGATTTTTTCTGTAAAGATTTTGTATATGCTTGGTAAAATTTCAAGTTTCTGTATAGGTTTTGTTGCTAGTGTGAATAGTATTTTTCATTATATTTTCTAAGTGGTCATTGCTGGTATAGAAAAATGTTGATTTTTGTGGGTTGATCTTCTATCTTATATTTTTACTGAACTCTGTTCATATTAGTTCCTATAGTTTGATTTTTCATTTTGAATTTTTAAGTAGATGATTATTTTCCCTAAAAATGGTGCTAATTGTTTTTGCATCTGCATTAGTGAAATGGGCCTAAAGTTTCTTTTCTTATAATTGTCTTTATTTGATTTTAGAATCAAGATTACACTACCCTCATGAAATGGACTGAGTAAACTTCATTCTTTTTCTAGTGACTGGAATCAATTGGATAAGGTAGTAATTAACTATTTCTTGGAAGTTTGGTAGAATTCATCTATAATATCATCTTGGGCTGAGTAGTTTTTTTATTTTTTGGTAGGAGAAATCTTTAACTATCGTTGTCATTTTATTTTGGGGGGGATTTTTTTTTACTTCATGTCATCTTTCCAATTTATTAGCCTATTGTATATAATACTCACTTAAAACTTTATATATTATTTTCCTTTTTTCATCCTGTATTTTATTTATTTAAATCTCTTCTCATCTTTATAAAATATCTATTTACTTTTTCAAAGAGTCAAATTCTGATGCATTTCTCTGTCTGTGAAAAAGGATTTTCTGCTTATTAATTAGTATCCATCTTCCTTGTTATTTTGCCATTTCCATTACATTGAATTCTTAGCTAGTTTTTTTAGCCTCTCTCATTTAATGATATATAAAGCTATACACTGATATATAAAACTATAAATGTATATAAAGCTCACACTGCCTTCTTAGCTCTCTTTAATTGTCCCACAAATTTTAATTTGTGTTTTTATTTTCATTCACTTTAAAATATTTATTTTATGATTTATCTTAACACAAGTTTAATTTAGTAATGGGCCATTTTGTTTCAAACATATGCTAATTTTGACTACTATTTTGTTATTTCTAATATTATTGCATTGTGATTGGAAAACATAGAATTATATATTGAACCTTTGAAATTTATTGAGTCTTCCTTTACAACCATAATTATGGTCTTTTTTTTTTGAAAATTCTATTTGTTTTTTGAATGATTCTATATGCTTTATTTTTTATACTTCTACTCTCTATATAATACCTGGAATTTTTTTATTGATAATGCAAAAGTGTTCCTTATCTCTACTTGATTTTTATGATTGCTTGATCTATTAGTTCCTAAATAGAAGAATATTAGAATATTCAAGTGTACTTGTTCCTTTTCTCTCTCTGGTTCTACTAGTTGCTTGATATATTTGAAACTATTGGAAAATGTATACATGTGTATAATGGATATATCTTCTTGTCCTATTGTTCCTTGTCACATAAATTTTATTTTGTCATATGTTGAGAGCTCTACCTCAACATTATTTTGGTTCATATTTGTCTGGTGTATCTTTTGAAAAATTATTTTCAATTTGTTTGTGTCTTCTTATATTACAGTGTGTCTCTCTAGCCTGAATATTGTTGAATCTTACTTTATTCCAATCTGTAAGTCTGTCTTTTAATTAGTTTAATTCAGGTACATTTAATAGTTATTCTTATGTTGGACCTTTTTTTTGGTATTTCATCTTATACTGTCAATTATAGTGCTTTCTTTTCATTTTTTCTCCTTTCTGTTTTATGTTGTTCTTGCTTAGTAACTTAAGATGTATCCTCAAGTTATGTACCCTTCTTGATTTTTCTACACATTAAATAACTTAACCTTTCCTCCAACAAGATAAATACTTCAGCAGGCTCTCAGATTCTATTTATTTTCCATCCATATCCTTCCCATCATGTAAACATTGTCTAGATTTTTTATATTATTTAGATTTCATGTTTCCCTCTTTTATAGATTTCCCTGGGCTGATTTAGGAAAAAGAAATACAGATCATACTAGTTCATCTTCTTGGCAGGAAGTGGAAAATCTCAAAGTATTTTTTGTAGCAAATTGACAGCATTTATCTTGTTCTGAATTCTCCCAGATAGTGAGTTGATAATGGTATTTTTTTTCCCTCAAATAACAGGTAGAAAATGTGAAGTTATTGGATCGTTATGTGGGTAAGAAACCAGCTAATGGGATTCTGTATCTTACTGCAACACACCTGATCTATGTGGAGGCTTCTGCTACAGCCAGGAAAGAAACATGGGTATGTTTGAGAAGAAATATAAAAAGATCTCAAAGAGTTATGTATACATGTATGGTAGTTCCTTGAAATTTCAACAGCATTGTTGAATTGCTGTGAAAACTATTCTTCAAAAATAGGTTCAAAGAGTCTTTTTGTAGCCTGAATTGTAGGATTTCTCTTCCCTCAAGTTATTGGGTGTAGTCTTGAGAGTGTTCCTGAGATTTATTTCAGTTATTTTAGGTTTAGTAGTTTCTGCTTGTTTTCTGAACTTTTTTAGTTGCTAAGTATCCTGAAATAATGGAAAGCCTTGCTGCATAAAAGTCAGGGTCCAAGAACCAGCAGCATCCATGTCATCTGGGGACTTGTGGAAAATAAAAAATCTCAACCCCTTAGAGAGCCCTTGAGCATTTGGATTCATAAAAAGCTCTTAGATGATGCTAATGGTTAGGCCCCATGGCATATACCCTGGGCTGCACTGAAGTAAACTCTCTCTGTACTAAGACAGGATTTCATCTGCATGTGTGTGAGAGTGTACATGTGTGTTTCTTGTTTTTCTTTGACTAGTGTTTTGTAACTACTTTAGTACCCTTAACATTATTTTCCTGTCCTAAAGCAGCATCATAATTTAATCTTAGTCACTAGCTAGATTTATGCTTATACCTCTTCATTTATAACAAATACAACATGTTTCATATGTATGGCATAGTATTAAGATCCCAGACGTTAGAGCCACTCTGCTTAGGCTGAAATCCCAGCTTAGTTATTTATTACCTTTATAACCTTGGGCAAGTTACTTTTTTGTGATTAACTTGTTCACATGCAAAATAGGAATAATAATAATGCATTGATAATTCAAGGTATAAGAACTACAAAGTTAATGTTTTTAAGTGCTTAAAACAGCATAGGATATAATAAGTACTGGCATATGAGTGGAAAATAAATAGGATATACATATGAAATAATTATCTTAAAATTCTTTTTAAAAATACTGTGACTTTCTCCATATGAGGTTGTATCTTCCTCATTTTGCTGCAATAAAAGAAATGCCAAAAGTGGAATCTGGAGAGCTTATTCTAGCTGGATCTGAAGCTAATTGGTGATGTGACCATACATAAGTGATTCTCCCTCTTTGAGTTTTTTCCCCATCTGTAAAATTAGGTGGTTAGATTATGTAATTAGTAAATACTCTCTCAGTTCTAACACTTTGGGAAACAGCTCTTTAGTACTGTGCCATGAGCTTATCTCTTGTCCACCTACATTCATAGACAGTTTAAATGTCTCAAAATTTGTTCCTGCTGGCATGTATTTCAAACCCAGTGGGTAGGATCTAGAAGGGAGAACTTAAGTTACTTATTTCTGCATGTCAGAGGGGGCTTATTTACCCAATCAGTATTATTAATAAAGTTCTTACCAATCGTAGTCTGCCCAGTTAGTCTCCGTCCCCACTCCTCTCCCACTGCAGCAAAATGAGGAAGATACAACCTCATATGGAAAAAGTCACAGTATTTTTAAAAAGAATTTTAAGATAATTATTTCATATGTATATCCATTATCACAGTTGTTTGCCTTGCCCCCGATCTTGGTGATCATTGTTTTACCATCCAAATACATGTCTCCCACATTGACTGTCAGGGCTTTGATTTTCTTGAAATTTAATACATTAAATTCTATTACATTATCAAGAGATTTTCAGGTATCCTCAAAACTGTCATGGGAGGAACTGAGTTTGACAAAATATTAAAATTCCTCTTAGGCATATGTGAATGATCTCCATACCTGCCCCATTTTTTAAATATTTATTTTTTAGTTGTAGGTGGACACAATATCTTTATTTTCATTTTATGTGGTGCTGAGGATTGAACTCAGTGCCTCAAGTGTACTAGGCGAGCACTCTACCACTGAGCCACAACCCCAGCACACCTGCCCCATTCTTAGACAGTGGATATAACTGGAAGATTTCATGAATGAGATGACTTACCAATAAAATTGGGGTGAAGAAAAGAAAAATCACTGTTGATTGGGAGGCCATTGTAGGCACAGGAAAGAGGTAGTCCAGAGAATGGAAAGAGCACATCTGGGGTCTGTAGTTGCAGGAAACATCAGAGACATGTATGGAGAAAAACATCAAATGATAAAAATGTTTCTGTGGCTTTTTTGATTTATAAGGAGAGGATTACATTATTTAGACAGTTTCTTTTACCATTTCCCTCTCTATGCCTTTTTTTTTTTTTTTTTCTGGCATTATTGTGAACCAAAGCAATCATCTGACATTTTTTGCCGGGGGGGGGGGGGAGGTGTACCAGGGTTTGAACTCAGGGATACTTGGCCACTGAGCCACATCCCCAATCCTATTTTATATTTTATTTAGAGAAGGGTCTCACTGAGTTGCTTAGTGTCTCGTTTTTACTTGAGGTTAGCTTTGAACTCGAGATCCTTCTGCCTTAGCCTCCTGAGCTGCCAGGATTACAGGTGTGCACATGCCACTGAACCTGGCTTCATCTGACATTTTTGCTTTTCTGTCATTAGAGTCTAAAATGTGGGAGAACATTTTTTTCCTAATGTTTTTATTATGTCCTAATTCCAGATCTAGCGTTTTCAGAATGACTAGAGTTAGATTTCCATGTTTCAAATCCTATTTGTGCTACTTCTTGGCTGTGTGAACTCTCATGAGGATTCACTTCTTAGAGCCTTGATCTCTTTATTCCTAAAGTAGGGTGGTTATACCCCAAAGGGCTCTTATAGGGATTAAGTAGCTAATAGTCATGGGCAACCTAGTGAGTAATCACAATACTGATTATTAACCACTATTTTAATTAGTAATTTGTTAGAACAAAAGGAAGTTCAAATACATTCTAATGTCATGTATGACTAAAATAAATAAATAAATACATACAAATTTAAAATATAATAAAATAGAATTTCAAATTAAACAAATAGCAATAAATGCAGAAAAAATAAAATGAATAATAATTCAAATTTTGAACACTTAAAAAAAGGAAGTTCTGTTTTCTTCTGATAATTATTCTATGATTTTTAAACTCCATTGTAACATGGAGAAGTTATCTCTGCTGAGCTAATCCATAAACCTGTTTATCTTTTATCAGTGAGTTTAGAGAATTTGTCTAACACTGCTATTTGCTTCTCATTGTTTTTCCATTATTATGTTTTATTTCTGTTTGAGATTCTTCCATTGTGTCTTGCAAAGGATGTTGTAGGTTGTCCATCTGATTACATGTCTGGCCATGCTGTTATCACTACAGAGAGTCAGGAACACTGATAATGATAGAGCTAGCACACATCTGTATGTTTATCTTGCTTCTTTTTCTGTTTTGCAGATTGCACTCCATCACATTGCCACTGTGGAAAAGTTGCCCATCACTAGCATGGGCTGTCCTCTGATCCTCCGCTGTAAGAATTTCCGGGTGGCCCACTTTGTTTTAGATTCTGACCTTGTGTGTGAGGAGGTTTATATTTCACTACTCAAGCTTTCTCAGCCAGGTATATGATAGCATTTTTATTTAAAATAATTTTTCCAGAGAATCATGATAGAAAGATCATGGGCTGTATAGTTAGTCAGAGTTTAGATCCAGGCTCTATTACCAGATCTGTGGTATGTAGACAAGTTATATAACCTGTGAACTTAGCTTACTACCTATAAAAGTAGGGGGAGTAAAACTCCTAAGGTGGTTGCTTTGAAGCTTAGATACGTTCATTCATTTTACTGTGCACTTAGTATATAGTAGATGTTTAATAGATATTGTCTTATTTCCTTTTGTCCTTTGGGCTTTATGTTTGGCCCACTATTCCTACTCCTACCTTTAATTCCAACTGGAAGATTAGAGCTGTTTATCATAGTTCTTAAAATATCATTTTCATTACTTTTTCCAGCTTCACTTTCATTCTCAGCCCTCACTCCTAGGCAGTTAATCTATTGGCCTCCTCTGATTTTTAGTTTTTGGATTCCCATGCTCTTAAGTTTTACCTCCCATTTTCTTCTCTTTTTCCTCAGAATAATTCCTCAGTATTTGCTGATATTTTATTGATAGAAAAACCTTCCAGTCAACCCAGCAATTAATAAAGTTCTGATAGGCTCTGATATTTCTGGGAAAGATGTTGTCACCTGAATTGCTCAAATAAGTATTGACTGCATGTCCCATCTTGTGAAGGGAGGAAGCAAAACTGACAGGGAGAAGTGGCCCTTATCAGCAGAAGTTGGTGTTGGCCTGACAAGTAGAATGCAGTGTAATTGTTAATGTTGTGTGGCATGTGTCAAACAAACCGTGAAATTACAAACAGTTAAAATTTTTGGTAAGGACTACCTTCCTAACATGTGAAAACCCAAAGCCTCATTCAGTCTATTATTCAACATTCTTTTTTATAGTAAGCCAAAGAAAGTTCTCACTTTCTACTGGTGACAAAAAAAAATAAAACATTTTAAAAGAAGAACCCAAAGCAATATGTCAGTTCTTATCCCTTGCATAAAGACAAACATGTACACAAAGTCCTGTTCTTTTCTGGGACTGACAAACATTCCTTTTGGGAAAAGGTAATCTTTATTTGCCTTGTTTGGTGGTCTTTCAGTTTTACTTATAGTAACTTTGTTTCCATGGCTTTCTTCTCCAGTATTACCTGAAGATCTTTATGCTTTCTCTTATAATCCCAAATCATCAAAAGAGATGAGGGAAAATGGATGGAAACTGATTGACCCAATATCAGACTTTGAGAGAATGGGAATACCCAATCGGTATTGGACCATAACAGATGCCAACAGAAACTATGAGGTGATTTGTGATTTTTGCTTTCCTTTAGGTACATTTAATTAAAATGGCAGCATATCAGCAAATGAAGTTTTGAAAAAGAAAGAGGGAATCCCTTATAAAATCTCTCCTTTTCATTTAAAATTCAATTAGCATTTATTAGGTACATACTGTGCTCAAGGCATCAAGTCAGTGATCTCCTGGTCTAAAGCACAGGGGTGCTATGGGAATGTAGATGAGGGAAAAGAAAAGCAACCTGGGAAGCCAGAAGTTGGTTGATGTTTTGGGGTATTTCCTCGTGAAGGAACTTTATCCTAATTTATGTAAGGGGAGAAGGAATGAGGTTAAAAAGGAAACCAGATCATGAGGGGCTTCATGGCTAAATTAAGAAATTTGAACATTATCATGAAGAAGAACATTATCATGAACATTAATTATCATGAAGTTGGGAGCCATGAATTATTTTAATATAGAAAGGAGCATGAAAATATATTTGTATTTTAGAAAGGAATTATTGTTATTAGTGTGGAGAATTGGCTTGCTGGCTAAGAATGCAAAAAGGTAATACATGAAATGATAAGAACATGAAATAAGGCAATTAGACAAATTGAGAAGAATTTAAAAGATAAATATTTAAGTGGTAGAATTGAAAGAATCTGGTGTGAGTAAAAATGTGGTTGAAAAAAGGAATGGGAGTTTAGTATGCATCCAAGATTCCTTATTTTTGGCTTTAGTAACCAAGCAGATAGTGATTATGTTAGCCAAAATGAGGACAACAAGAAGAGGGACACACACATCTTCAGATTTTTACTTGAGTTCAAGGTTGATTCAAAAGATATCTAGTTTTTGATATTAAGCTTTGTGACTGTATCTGAAAAAAGAGCTCTGGGCTGAATATAGAGGTCTAGGATTATACTTGGGATTCCCATGACCATTTCTCAGATTCTGTGATCCATTAGAAGGACTCACAGGATTGAACATATATTTGAACTTTATGATTTATTATAGTGACAGATACAAAGTAAAATCAGTAAAGGAAAAAGGAACATAAGGTGAAGTATGGAGAAAACAGTACAATCATTCAATGTCCTTTCCCAGTGGAGTCACATAAGATATACTTAATTTACTCCAGCAATAAATTATAACACATGTGTATCGGGGAAGCTCATTAGAGCTTCATTGCCCAAGATTTCTATTGGTTGGCTGCTTGCATTTGCCTTCATGTAGACCAAAATTTCAGATGCCCAATAGGAAAGTGTTTTAGTTAGGTTTTTTGCTGCTGTGACTAAAGGATCTGACCAGAACAATTGTAGAGGAGGAGGAGTTTATTTGAAGGCTCACAGTTTTAAATGTCTTAGTCCATAAAAGGCTGGCTCCATTCCTCAGGGCTCAAGGTGAGGCAGAACATCATGACAGTAGAATGTGGTGGAGGAAAAGAGCTCAGGAAGCAGAGAGGAATAGTCTCTACACTCCAGATACAAAATATATACCCCATAACCCCACCACAATTCCCACCTCATCCAGCCATACCCTACCACTTCAGTTACCACTCAATCCCTATCAGGGGATTAATTCACTGATTGGGTTTAAACTCTCACAACCCAATCATTACTCCTCTGAACCTTCTTACATTGTCTAATATCTGAGCTTTTGGGGGACTCCTCACATCCAAACCATAACAGAAAACATGTTTTCTACATAAATCACATTGTTCATACAAACAGTTTAGGCACAATGACATTCTTACCAGTTAAGGAATGGTGGACAACCTTCCAAAATCCAGGTTTCCGGGCACCAACCAAAAGCTAATATTACAAGGAAGACTTTCTAAGGATGGCAGTCAGGCCTTCTATGAATAATTGGTATATAAGTGATATCCCTAAATTGTTGGATCTTTAAATTATTTCCAGATTTTATTATCACAATAAAGTTCTAATTGTAATGGTTTTCTGATAACACAACTCTGAAGTATTCACTAGGAATGATAACTGATGAGCTGTCACTTAGCAGACGCATTTACAAAGTGGCTTATTTGGGCCATGCTTTACAGGAATGAGTACAGATGGGTGAATTCTGTGCAGTACAAATATGTTTGTAAGTCTCCCGAATAAGTCTGAAATATCCATTTTGGCCCTTTGGATGTGCATGGCCTTCTGAGCCAAAAGGGCAGCTTCATTTATTTCTCCTTGTGTGACCTGCTTCTGAAAAGTCTGACAGGTAAAAGGAATGGGTAGAGAACAACTTCTTTTTCAAATATTCTGTATTTGGGGTCACTGAGAGTAGAGCATTCTTGATCTAATCTACCTTAAATTACTTTTGTCTTTTTATTTTTTTTTTAGATTTATTATTAAATATTTGGGAGTGTTCTTAGGGGAGTGATCAGAGTTAATTTTGCATTAAGTCTGTGCTATTATAATATCTGATTGGAAAAAAATTAAGTAGTAAAAGCTAATAAATTTCAGAAAACTTGTTAATCTCTTTATAGAATAAGTCACACCTAAAATGTCAACACCTCCACCCCCACATTAGTATATTAAAGGCCCTTTAGATATGCATACCAGGAACTCAGTATGCAGTTTATGAAAGAGTAAATAATATTTCCTCCTCCTCCACCTGTCTGCCTCACATTTGAGCTTATTTGTTTTAATTTACTTATTTATTATCTGTATCATTTATTCTGATAGGCAAATGTAAGAATTTCAGAGTAGGGTTGAATGTGTGTTTTTGCCTATAATTTTTCTGGTTTTTTCTAAAGGTAGATTTTGTTCTTTTATGTGTTTATACTTTCCTTTCTGGAAAATAATAGCATACTTGGAAAAACTTTTATAGCTAGGATATTTTTGTTCCTATTTCTGAGGAATGGATGAATCTGGATGGTAAATCCCAGCCAGCTAATGCTTCAGTGAATGCTAATTACAGCCTGCTAATAGCAAGTGAACATTCTAAAATATATATACGTGTAGATGTGTGTGTGTGTGTGTGTGTGTGTATTGAGTTTATTTTCTTTTAGATATGCAGTACCTACCCTCCTGAAATAGTGGTTCCTAAATCTGTTACCTTGGGAACGGTGGTTGGAAGTTCAAAGTTCAGAAGTAAAGAACGTGTCCCTGTGCTCTCCTACCTCTACAAAGAGAACAATGTGAGTTAAGCAAACTTCTATAATGGGAACTAAACTTTGCTCTAGAAGACCTAGTTTCAGTCCCACCCTGCCACTTAATAGCTGTGTGTCCTCAAACCCAACTTCTTTGAACTTTAGTATTTCTGAGAGTTTTGAAGATGCCACATTTGGGGGGATATATATGCACTTTGTAAATTGTAAAATGTCATGGATATGTTGAGCGGTATTTTGTTGTTCTTTTGTTTGTTTTCTGTGGGTTCCAACTTAGTGAGATGTTGCAGAAAAAATGGTAACTAGTTATATGAGATATATTTGGGAACTGTGGCTTCTCACTAGAATATAGATATCCTTGATCCTTTATTATTCTTTTTCATGTAATTTAAGGTTGTAAGAAGAAACCACTTGACTCCTCTGTGTTTGAGTCACCTCAAGTAGGAAGTGGTAATAATTCTTACATTTTATGGTCACTTTGAGATCTAGGGTTAGACAAATAGTTAAGTCCTCAAATAGGCAACTACTGAAATGCAAAAGAGTACATTAATGCAATTGGTGTCTTTTTATGGAACTTCCAAAATGCACAGACTCCTTCAAAACTACACCAAAGTATAATGAAGTCGATTAACTAATCATTACCAGATATTCCCTATTAAATATCTATGTTGGTTTTTGTTGTTATTGTTGTTGAAATGGCTTGAAATATACCAGCCCTCTGATTTTGGCATTAACTCCTACAGATAGTGAACCCTGTTCTCTAAATCTGTAGATTTTGTTGTATCTTGAATTCCCTTGCTTCAAGCCTCTAGTTTATATGGATTATTTTACTGGAACTGTAAAAAATGGGCATTTTGAGAAAAATTACCAATCCATTATGTACCAAGAATAGGATTTTATTAAAGAAACACTCAAGATGTGATTTTTTTGTAGTCTGATTTGCCAAGACTGGGTTGAGAAATAGCCACATGCCAAGAGGAGGCAGGAGGCTTAGCTCAATATCAGTGGAAGCTAGGCTTTAGAACCACATCTCTTTGCTGTGGATACTAACCCAAGTTGGCTTATTCTCTTATTCTACTCCCTAAACTTAGATTCAAGGAAGAATTTTTATCACCTGTAGATGTGATGACTTGGCTAACACATTTTTTCCTTATAGGCTGCCATTTGCCGCTGTAGCCAGCCTCTGTCTGGATTTTATACTCGCTGTGTAGATGATGAGCTCTTGCTAGAGGCCATTAGCCAAACAAACCCTGGGAGCCAGTTTATGTATGTTGTAGATACAAGACCAAAGGTATCTGTCAATGATTTCTTTGATATTCCTGCTACTTGCAATCCCCTCCTCGTATGTTGACACTTGCAATGTTACTGGGAAAGTTAAATTAGTGTGTGTGGGTTTGTTGTGTCAGATATTACATAAAATCACTTGCACAAGCCATTGATGCTCCATTTATAAGCCTGTCACTGTCAAATGAGGCTATGAGAAGTTACTTAGAACAACTTAGCATTGTCACCTCAATTTGACATTCTGAGTTGAAGACTCATTGACATCTATCTCCTCATCATTTTCACTAAATCTATTCCTTAACCAGAATTTTCAGTAGTCCCCTGCTATGGTCTAAATTTACTATCAGAGAAAGAACTTCAACTTAAACACTAGAGGCTTAGTAATATCAACATATCTTTCTCTAAATAATGTATTAAATTATATTACATTGTAGACGCAAGATCAAAGGTATCTGTCAATGACTTCTTTGATATTCCTTCTGCTTGCAATCCCCTCCCCATATGTTGACACTTTCATTGTTATTGGGAAATAATAGTATTTAATAATAGTATTTAATAATAGTATTAATGATACTTTGGCGTCCCCAGAGAAGCAGGATTCACAGACTGCTATAGGAGTAACAAAAATATTCAGCTCATGTGGTAGTAATTTTTTAGCACACAGCACTATTAGCTGAATTTTTTTTCCCAAATCAATGAAGTACAGTTTAAATCTTGGTCCCATAGAGTAAGAAAATACCAGAGACATAGATTCACCATGGATTTCGGCAGTGGACACGGGCCTAGCAAAATCTTTTGATCTTCCTGAGAGCCCAGTGCTGTGGACTTATTGCATTGTGTTTTCTCAGGCTTCTTCCCTAATGTGAATTTCACTGAACAGGGGGTCCTCAGATCAACCTAAGTATCAGCCTAAACTCCTCTCTGCATTAAATCCCTGACTTTCAACAGTTTGTCTAGTTCTGTAAAAGTTTATACAAGAATTCATTGTGCCCCATAAAAGAAGTAAAGGACAGATTCCCTTTTTTTAAAAGTTGTGCTTTTCACAAAAAGACCCCCAAAGAAATGATTTTGCTTAGAATTGTAGGTGTGGAATGTACCCGATTAGGATATTTAATTACAACCTACTGATTGCGAAATCAGTGATTTAGAGCTAAGCCTAAGCCAGGTGGTTGTGGCTTCAGAGTTGAGCAACTGGACATGCACGAAACCAGATAGTGACCTTAGACAACTGTTTGTCCCATTTTTGTGATCTCTCACTGGCTTTTCTCCAGAGCTACCTAGGACTGACTGGACCCAAGAAAGAAAATAATTTCCCTGTCTGCTCAGGCACCACCCTTCAGTTTCTCAAAAGCTTGCTGTCTTGTTTCAGTCATAAATGTTTGACATTATATTGGAAAGATCTAAATCAAATATGTATCTTTTATCAAGAGGGAGACACACAAGAAACACACTAAGCTTTTGAAAACTGGAAGAATTTGCTAAAATTTAGCACCAGAAAGTCCCTTTTAGCAGGTCCCATTTTCCTCTCAGATTCAAGCAAATTAAGATATGTATTGAGAATTGAACCCAGGGCATGCATTGTGCATGTTAGTCAAGTGCTTTATCATCAAGCTTCATCCCCAGAAAATTGAAGCAATAACAGATCTAGAGATATCTGGAAATCTCTCTCTTCTAGATGCCTAAATATATAATTTCAGTAGATGTAGTGAAAAAAATATTATTCTTAGGAATCAGACAAACTTGGGGTCAAATCCTTCCTGCCTTTTGACTCTTATCCATATGATCCTAGGAAAATTGGTTTACTTGTTTGAACCTGTTTTCTTATGGTGATGATAATAGTATCTACCATGAGAGGCTATACTGAGAATCAAATGAGATAATGCACTTAAAGATCTAGCACAGCATCATCTTGCACATACCAGGAACTCAGAGCCAGCCTTAGCAAATTAGTGAGGCCCTAAGCAATTTATACAGACCCTGTCTAAAAATAAAAAAAGTAAAAAGGACTGGAGATGTGGCTCAATGGTTAAGTGTCCCTGGGTTCAATCCATAGTACCAAAAAAATATACACACACACACACACACACATTATATGTGTGTGTATAAATAAATATATATATGTGTGTACACATGTGTGTGCATATATGTGCATGTGTATGTGTGATATATATATATATATATATATATATATATATATATATATATATATATATATATAAACATCTCTTCATCAATATGTTAATACCTCGCTTTTCTTCAAATCTTCCAGGTATATTTCCAAAGAGTATATACTGGCACAGTGTTGCTAGCTATTTGCATTAGGTATCCTACCCATACCTGGATAGGAACTGCTGTAATCATTGTTTTGTTTGTTGAAGAATCACTTATAACTAAATTCATTGCAACTAGGCAGCTGTTGTTTGTCTTCCACAGGTATTCCTTTGACATCTGTCATTTAATGAAAGCTCAGTGACACTGCCAGAGTGATAAAAGATCAAAATTACTGTCACATTTCTGCCTTTTGCACATTTTTCCTTTATATTTGCTAATGTGTATAGTTTTTGCTGTGATGTTTTTGCATTTCATCCATGAATACAAAAATCACATCTTGTCCATGTATATGCACTTCCTGCCTCTTGAAATGCTCAATACGCAGTAGATAAGAAAACTGGCAAACAACAGAAAATCAGTAAGATGGTCATCATCATAGAAGGTATATTGGCTGACTTCAAGTGACTGTATGAATATTTCCTTTCTGTAAATCTCATTTACTGCCAAACATTCTTATACAGCCACATTATTGATATCTTTTCTAGAATAGCTATCAAAAATTGATTAGCCCAGAGGTTCATAGAGTTATTTCTATAGCTTCTCACTTGTAAAGTTGTGAACTTTTACATTTTTCTCATTTTAAAGTCCTTTCAGCTGTGAAGATACTTGTTTGTAATAGGTAGCTCAAAATTATTATTTTAGTTATTCAGATAAAATATCTTTATAATTGCCACATCCTTCATCTCTTAAGTAGGATATTAGTAATACAAGAAAACCTCAATTTTCCTCTTTCTGTATGTGAGTGGGTTACCTAAGTACTTGGTCTAAAAAATAGTGAAATTCACTCCATACCAGAATATGTAAGATTTGAAACTGTTTTGAATGAGGTATTGAGATTGATGAACCCCACTCTTTCATCATTTGGCATTATCTGCTATGTTATGCCCTCTACTGTTACAGCTAAATGCCATGGCCAACCGAGCAGCTGGTAAGGGGTATGAAAATGAAGACAACTATGCCAACATTCGCTTCAGGTTCATGGGCATTGAGAACATTCATGTGATGCGGAGCAGCCTGCAAAAACTCTTGGAAGGTACAGGGATTTCACCTTGGCTAGGCCAGAGGCCATACTTTGGCACTATTATGTCAAAAAAAAAGCATTCCTGTTTTGGGGTGGAACATAAAAGCCAGCAGGTGAGCAGAGTAAATAAGTGATGAGATGTTTAACTAGAGTATGGACATAACTTAAAAGAATACTGAATTATAGCAGTGTTAGTCTGGCAAGGGGAATGAGATATTTCAAAACTCATTTCTCAATAGAATTACAGAGGCTGGTATTCGGGGTCTACCCAAGACCAACATAAGCATGAATGAATTTGGAATTCATTTCATTGTCCTCAAGGCAAAAAAGTAACCTCATATGATCTATACGGAATCACTTTGATATCATCATTGCTGAAGAAGAAGTTGAATTTAGATCTCCAAGGGAAAAAATGCTGATATCAGACAATTTTGGCCATCTGTCATCACTGCAAAATAATTGGTGTCAAAAGGGGAATTGAGGTGGTTCGTTGGGCCTTGTAGGATTCTTGAGTTTAGAACATTTCTTCTTAAACCACTACTCAGAATTCCATGATGTGATATGCCAACTCAGGAAAAGATCATGAAAACCTACCTTCTTTACTGAACTACCTGTTCTTCCTTTATATTCTTCAGTTTTGTACTGATACAGTATGCCAGGGCCTCTCCGCTATACAACCCTTATCACATCCTGTCTCCTCAGTCTATGTCCCTTTTAGAATACTGAATATCCATTTTCCTTGTTTCTCTCCTGTTTTCATTTTGACTCAGAACATTCTATTGAAGGGAACTTTGTTTTACAGATTTTGAAGCAAAAGGTTGCCCTCTGCTGGATAACTAGTGAAAGGTGCACAAAAATTAATGTGTTCCCTTCCATGCAACCTGTTGAGACAGCACAGAGCTGAAAGAAGTAGGTGGAGGTATAGGAGTAGACAGATGTTAAGGGCCTATAGGATTAGGATGAGTGGGTGGGATTAGGATGGGGATCAAATGTGTTTTTAATAAAAGGAGATGTGAGTATTTTCCTGTAGGTATTGACTCATACTTTGGGCTTTCTTGAGAGATTTCTGAGTGTTTGAGGGTAGGTTCCAAACCTAGGGAAAGCAGAAACCCATGGTGGGAAATCTGGTAGACTTTATCCCTAGTCCTATTCCTGATTCAACTGTATGGTTTCCAGATAATCATTTAACCTCTCTGTTCCTCAGCTTCCTCATTTACAAAATGGGGATCCACTTTCTTCCCTTTCTTGATGAATAAACTGAGATGATTGTCAATTTCAATCTCTGCTTCCTTTTCTACCTTAGTTTGTGAATTGAAAACTCCAACAATGAGTGAATTTCTTAGTGGCCTGGAGAGCTCAGGGTGGTTGAGACACATTAAAGCTATTATGGATGCTGGAATTTTCATTACAAAGGTAATAATCAAGACTTTTAAGAATTTGCACTGACTTTAATTATGGGATCTCTTGAAGTAGTAGTGTGCCATGGTGGAAAGAATATTAAAAGAAATCTAGTTTCTAGATTCAGCTCTGCAAATGTTTGCCCTTGGGCATGTTTCTTCCCTCTCTGGGCCTCACTTCTCCATCTATAAAACAAAATGGTTTTATAGTATCTACTGTAACTTTTGGGGGGCCCACAGAACACTTTGGGAATGAGATTGATCATCTCCCCCTCTGGAAAATGCAGATATAATTATACATATAAATGTGGACCTCAATTTCTGGGAGTTCATAGACCTAGACCTCAGTTTAAAATTCTTTGGTAATCTTTAATAGTCCCTCCAGCTCAATTACTCTCTGATGTGTTTTTGTGTTAAGGGTGAGTGTGAAATAAATGCAGAACTTACATATCTGTGAGTATTCAGAGCTCTGAATACATGCGTTTTTATGGCGTCTTTTTGTATAGGTCTGCCTCTGAATGCAGTCTAGGCAGGCTTTGTTACCCTACATTTATGCTGACCCACTTATTTTCTGACCTCCAGAACCCCAGCCTTTTTAAGATGATTTTTTTTAAAAAAAGGAAATTCAAAGCATATATTTTCTCATTTTGAATTATCTTTTATATATTCCTATCTGAAAACTTTCCCTCTTCACCCCACCCCTCTTTATTTGGTAGAAGTAAAGGAAAGGAGAAAATGACTCTTCACTCCACTGCTGTCATTTTCTCAGTTGAAAGCAATGATGTATGTCTTTTGGTTTAAAAGGTTTGGAGAGAAAGAGAGGGAGAAAGAGGGAGAGAATGAATGAATGAATGAATATGAATATATGTGTGTGTATAATTAACTGCCTTAAATACTTTTTGTTTTCCTAGTTCTGTTGCCTGCACTTTTCATTGTAATGTGTTAGTATTTACTATGTGACCCTTTTGGCTATTTCAAACCCTCTATTCAAAACATTCTTCATGTTGTTCCTTTTTCATATATCCTACAACCATACATCTATAGTCCCTGTCTGAAACCAAATTTATTAGACAAAAGAAAATGATGATGGTGGAGAGGGCAATTTGATAGATTGTCCAACCTTAAATTATTGGTTGAATTAAAATGAGTTGACCAAAAATAGATTTGGGATTGCATAATTATTCTGTGCTCCTTATAACCTTACCACCTATAGAGTATCCCAAGCTTTAAAACTTCAATCAGTCTTCAGTTCTCCCTCTTTCCTCCATCTGTCAATTGCCAACTCCTATCAGTTCTATTTCAAAAGTGTTTCAAATCTATCCTTTCTTTACAATTAACATTATAGATTAGAGATGCTTCTAACATATGTTCCTTACCTAACACATTCACTAACCTTTCCAAAGTAATATAATAACTTCCTAACTGCTTTACTTCTTTAGTAGTTACTCCTCAGATTATCTAGAAAGTCATTTACAACACTTCTGATTATGTTACTTTATGGTGAAAATCCCCCAATGGTTCTCTATTCTATTGCCTATTAAAGCCTGTAGTTTGCTATCCAATCTTTCCCAACTTGGCTATGCTAGATTTCTTGTTGTTCTCTAATATACTATGCCACTTTTCTCTCTCTTTTCTTTATTTTTCTTTACTTTTTCTCATTAAAAAAGCAATATGTGCACACTAATAAAGTAGTTGATATTTCAGAAATACTTAGCAAAAGGTAAACATTTCCCATTTGTTTTCCCACAACACACATTTCACTATTAATAGTTTAATATGTATGTCTCTTGATTGGTACTATTCATTTGAAATTTCTGTGATGATGGGAATGCTCTGTATGTTCTAATAGAGTAGCTACTATCTACAGAAGATAAGTAAGCACTTGAAATTTGACTAGTGAAATTGAAGAACTGAATTATTTTTATTTAAATGAATTTTAACAAATTCAAATGAAATACTCATAGATGACTAGGGACTTTCATTTTGGATAGTACAGCTATAGAGTTTTTCAATATACATAAATATACTATTACTATGTAAAAATAGGACTATACTGTATATACTGTTCTGTAATTGCCTTTTCATCTTTAAAAATAGTGAACATTTTTCAGATCAGGTCAGTCAATACAACCTATTTTTTTTCCAAAAACTGTATATATTCCATTGTGGGAATTTACAGTGGTCTTCCATTAATTAAAAAATTCTGTTGTTTTCAGTTTTTCACTAATATAAACATTGCTGCACCAAATAACCTTAAACATGTATCCTTACATATGTGAATATTATTAGAAGTAGATTTTCTTAGTCAAAGAATATGAATATTTCAAATTCTAATAAGTGTGGTCAAGTGCCTCTGAAAATGTAGTACCATACCCATTTTTCAATGTTGCCAGCAATGGTAATCATTAATCTTTTTTAATCTCTGTATATGTGATAGGTGATCAATTTTATATCATGTTTTAATTTGTGTTTCTATCATTAGTAATGCAATAGAGCATCTTGTCCTGTCTACTGTTCACTCTGTTTGGATCCCTAAAAAGAGCTTAATTGCTACTGTTGGGCCTCTGATACCGATGGAGGTCTCTGCTGAACTAAAAAATTTAAAAAGACTGAGATGCCTGTTTCCAGATTTCTTTAACTCCTTTCTTACAACCTAACTACCCTTCCAGAAAAACAACTTTTCTTGCACTGTTACTACAAAAGTTGCTCATTCTCCTACATGCCACAAACTAAATGGCCTAGGGGAAGTTTAGTATTCTCCTTGCTCTTTACAAAACTGTTTCTTCCTTTCTGATCTATTTCATTTAGCTATATTACCTTGTACATTTCTTTCTCTCCCTCCTCCATTAAAGACTTTGAGAAAGGCCTTAACACCTGTCTCTCCCTCTTTATTCAGGAGATTTGAAGGTTCATGTGCAGACTGTTGAACTCTCTGCACTTATATTTCTTTAAGTTTTTATATGCCAGTTCTCAAACATTTATTCTAGATAGCATGGTTCTTCAAGCTCATTGAGACCTCTATACTTTTAACTTCACTTTTTTAACTTTCTTCCCTATTTACCAAGACCTGTTGGTATAGAAACTTCCCCATTCCACCGTGTCCCTTATTCTTCTATTCTAACTGCTTTGCTACCTCAGTAATTTCCTATACTCTGACTACTGAGCATTGCTGCAAATAAATAAATTTTATACATGTTAATTTGTACTATTTCAAGTTTATAGTCTATAGTTGCCTACTTAGCAGTTGTTGTATGTGTTCCTGGTTGGGTCCTAGTCCTGTTGCACCAAGCAGGTGTTGCCAATCTGTACCTTGCTTTCAAGCTGGTTATACTTTCTATAGGCACATATTAAAACATGTCTCCTGGTTCACAGAAAAGTCAAAGTGATACCTCATCTTCCCATTATCATTATTAACATTTTTGAATGTCTTTCTCCTGACTATCACAGAGGACTTGATGTCCAATCTGTGTATATGCTACCTATATTATAAATCCCATCCTCTCCTACTTTTTAAAGAAACCAACTCTATCAATTAATCCCTCTTTCTGCTATATTTTCAACCTGTTCTTTTTGACTAGTTTCTTCCTTCAGAAGTATGTTCAAATATTTTTCTTTATGTTTAAAGAAAAATAATCATACTTGCTTCTAGCAATTGCTCTCTGTGTTAGCTTTCTTTCACTGTTACAAAATACCTGAGATAATCAACTTTTAAGGAGGAGAGGGTTATTTTAGCTTAGTTTCAGAGGTATCAGTCCATTATCACTTGGCCACCTTGTTTTTGGGCCTGTGATGAGGCACTACATCATGGAAAGAGTACATGATAGAGCAAGATGTTTACTCCATAGTGGCTGGGAAGCAGAGATGCAAGAAGGGACTGGGGTACCAATACCTCGTTAAAGGCATGTCTCCAATGACCTAATTTCCATCCATTAGGCCCCACCTCCCAATAGCATCGCAGGCTTGGGACCAAATCTTCAATACATAGGCCTTTGGGGGACACTTTAGATCCAGAATGTACCCTCTTTCCTCTTAGAGCCATTTTGAAAACAGTTAGCCTTCCCTATGAATACTTCTTCACCTTTTTTCATCTTTCAGCTCACTAAGATCCAATTTCTATGCCATTACTATTATTCTTGCTAGGGATACTAATGACTCTTCACTTATCAAATTTAAATCTTCATTCTATTTTGACCTCTGTCACATTTATACTTTTGACGACCCCCAACTCTTTTTTTGGCTTTAATCCAGCCATTCCTTCCTGCTCTTAATACCTTTCAGGCTGTTTCTGTACAGGCTAACTCCAATCATAGCCATTCTTCCTCTTCTTGCCCTTTAAACATTGCTGCTTTTTTTTTTCTTTTCTTACTTTTGGTCCTTACCCGGACAGTAGTAGCTATGTACACAATTCCTATTACCATATCAATTGAGACAGTGGTCAGTTCTACACTCTGGCTTAGATCCTTCCCTCTCCTCAACTCCAGACCTAAATATCCAGTTGTCCCCTGTACTCTCCATTGGCGCTTTCTCGTTCTCTCTCCCTCTCTCTCTCTCTCTCTCTCTCTCTCTCTCTGCTACCTCAGACTCACCATAGCCCAAACTGAAATCTCACTTACCCTCACTACTCTCTAAAACTAACTTCTAACATATATGTATTTTATAGAATGATGGTACTGCTATCCATCTAGTTACTAAGCTGTACATTTTAGAGTTATCTTTGACTTTTCCTTCTTCATCTCATATTCATTTTCTCAGTATATCCTGTTAAATTTTTATACTTTCCATCCTTCTCCTTTTAAGCCCCACTGCTACTTCTTTTTTTTTTTTTTAACTTCAGGAACTCATGGTCCTTTCATTTAGCAGCTCCTCGACTGTTTTTCCTATATCCAAATTTGTGTTCTACCAAGCCATTTTCCTTGCTGCTACCACAATGATCTTTTTAAAGTGCACATCTGATTATGATACTTCTTTGCTTTCATAACCTTATAGTTTCCCTCTTGCCACCAGATAAAATGCATATTTGTTCATCTTATCCTTGTCCTCTTGGCCAGCTCTGTTTCTCATCTTTCCCTCACTCCCAGCCCAAACTTAATGGTAACCAGCTATTTAAGAGTTCCTAACCTATGTCATGCCTCCTTGCATACGTATTTGCTGTCATTTTTTTACCCTGATGGAATGTCCTTTCCTTGTAGTCAGTCTGGCAAATGCCTATTCAACTGAAAACATCCATTTTAGTTATCTGTTCTCTTTGTTTATCTTTTGTGCTTTTGTTGTACCTGTCATGGAATTTTGTTTTATTTATCACCCGTTCGCAATAATTTGTTCTAGAGTTTGTCTCCTTTGCATTCCTAGTGCACACTGTAGTGTCTCTTGTACGTTGAGCAGTGACTGACATATATATGCAAATGAATGAATACGTGAATTAATTAGTATATTTTTCCTTCTTCACCTAAGGATGTCCTACTCTTTCTTTGAGGCTCAAGTTCCCCCAGCTCCTGCAAAAGGACATATTTACCACACATTACACTCTAGCAGTTGTTTTTCCTGTGTCTTATAATTATTTACCTTTGGGCACTGTGACTAGTTTGTGGGCTCCTCAAAGGTAGAAATTGATTATCATATTTGTATCTCTAATACATAGTACTTACCTGGCACATGCAGTTGCATAATTAAGCCTTAGAATTAGTAAATGAATAATCAAAATCTGCCATTGCCAAAATTGCTCAGGTCTTTACATTATTCTGATTGGAAAGAAACCAAGCTAAGGCAGGCAAGCTCTTCTATCTTAAGTTGGGAGGGTTTGTTAGTAAGACTAGATAGCTATAGGAAATCTTTATTAGATCTGGGACTGGGATGTGGATTTGTCCTGTGTTTTTGAGCATGAATTTCTCCTTCTACCCACTCTTCCTCTGAGAATTGATACTTATTTTTATGGACTTAGGTTTTCCCTTGTTTTTCTTTTATCCCATATTAGGTATTGTTTTCTTATTTTATTTTCCTATTATGTAAGCTTTCCTTCTTCTCATATATATACTCTTTCTTTCATTCCCCCTAAAGGATTCTGATATTATGTAAAGAAATTAATGTAACCCAGTTAGATAAATGTCTCTGTGCTATCAGGACAGTATTGACAGCCCTATTATTAGTCCAGCATGCTAAGCAAAGGTGGTTTATTGTATTTTTTTTTTTTGCCCTGTTTTCACAGGCAGTAAAAGTAGAAAAGGCCAATGTTTTAGTCCATTGTTCTGATGGGTGGGACCGCACAGCACAAGTCTGCTCTGTGGCCAGCATTCTTCTAGATCCATTTTATAGGACATTCAAAGGACTCATGGTAAGAGAGCAGTGATTGCATTTTACTTTGTGTCAGTAGCGGTTTGTGAATAAATTAATAAAAGAACTCTCAACTAACTTGTCCCATTTTTTTACAAGAATGAGCTTTAAATCTATAAAAAAAAGCTATATTTTAGTTTAGCTACTCTAAACAAAGCATATATAGTCTGTATACTTTCTGTTGTACATTTAATGTACTTCATTACCCATTAGAAGTTAAGTTGTATACAACAGGCTGTTATAAAGTATAGGAAAGGCTCAGAAAGTTTGTAAAGCTGAATGGTTAACAGTAAAATGGACTGCCTAATAAGGTCATCCTCTGTAACATATCTATGTGAACATCAGACTCATGGTTATTTTCTTGTGTTGAAGCCAATGCTACTTTGTTGATCTTCCTAAAAAAAAGAACTGATAATCATGGTTTATCCTCATTTCTTTAGTTTTTTTTTTTCTTTTTTGCATGTGTGTATATGTAGTACTAGGGATTGAATCTAGGGGTGCTTTACCACTGTGCTATATCCCCACCCCTTTTTATTTTCTATTTTGAGACAGGATTTCATTAAGTTGCTAAGGTTGGTCTCCAAATTATGATCCTCCTTCCTCAGTCTTCTGCATAACTGGGATTACAGGCATGTACCACCACTCCTAGCCTAGAATTTTCTTTTAACCTTTGAAAATTATTTCATTCTTAGTACAAACTCAAATTCTGCCTTTGGATTCTTATTTTTTATGGGTTGAGTTTAACATTGTGCATAAGCACATGATTACATTTAATTATGGTGTCACGTAAAGGCCAAAAAAAGTGACACTAGATACAAATCCAATGTAATTTCTCCTGAGTGCATATGAAGTTTGAAGGCAACCTATATATATGCCTATAGTTGTAATCAAAGTTACATACTTATCATTTTGGAAATTAACTTTATTTTCTTATCAACTCATTCATTTCAGCAAAATGTTTTGATATTCTTGTGTGTATTGTTATTTTATGATTTTCCTAATGCAAAAATCTTCTTTTTGTATAAAAATGAAGATTCTAATAGAGAAGGAATGGATATCTATGGGCCACAAGTTCTCACAAAGGTAAAAATATCTTTATTTTGAAGGAGGGATGTGTGAAGAGTTCATTTGGGTAAGATTTAATAAAATCCAGATTTACCAATTTGGTATTGTGTAGGAAGAAACAGAAATTTGAACATGACCCTAAATGTCTTTCATCAAGAAAAAAGTATTTCAGGGTATTAAGTCTACAAAGGTGATCAGAATATCATCTCTGTTTTGAAGGAATACAAGTAATTATATTCAATTGTTAAATATTTTAGGAAAAAATTGGGAGTTCATAACCAACTTGAATCTAATGTATGAAATATGATATGTCAAGAGCTTTATAATGTTTTGAACAACCAATAAAAAAAATTAAAAACAAAAAAAAAAAAAAAAAAGGAAAGAAAAGCTTTCATGGGCCACAGAGAAAAGTGCTTAACTCTACGTAAAGAGGTCAGAGAAAAGCATAAAGGAATGTTATCTATTCTGGTGTAAAGGTGGCTTCCTGGAATAGTGCATATAAACTGAGCTTTAAAGTAGTAGGTGTTAGATAGAAAGAGGAAAACATTCCAGAATTGATGTGTGTGAAACCATAAAGGCATTAAATAGAATGGTTTATTTGAGGAACTGCAAGTGATCCAGTGTTACTAGATCATAAAGTACAGAGGGGGAGAATAGAGGCAATGAATCTAGTAAAGGGAGGCTAGGAAGGAGGTGATCTTCAAGGCCCTGTTTTTTGCTCCTTCCTTCTTCCCTCCTCCCTCCCTCCATTCCTTCCTTCCTCCTTTCTTCCCTAAAAGTTTTGAATATTTTTCTCTACATAGTAAAGCTATACTGGAGAACTTTGAACAGGGAAATGGTATAGAAAATTGAGATTGGAGGTAAGGGGATGAATTAGAGATTTATCACAATTTATGAAGGCCCAAAATAAAAAGACAGAGGCCACTACGACAGATACAAGGATATTTGGGAAGTAGAACTTATAGAAAGAATCAGGAAATGAAAGAAAAAGGTTAGCAGAACTTGCAAGTTTTTAAGCCTTAGTTTGCTGGGTTTACTGAGAAAATGTAGAACAATACAGGGCAAGTATTGGGGAAAAGGTGTTTTGAATTTAGGACCTATTTGGCATGGAGCATCTAAGACATGTCCACTAAGCAGACTCCTCAGTACTAATTCAGAATTTCCTAGTTCTGGATTTGACAGAGAGGATTAGAGATTTGAGAGTTAATCTGCTTGTGAATGGCATTTTGGGCTATGGCTTCAGATAAGATCGCTCAAAAAGTTGTCTGTAGAATAACCAAGTGATAGGACAAAGCCTTGGATGATACACTTGAAGATTTATTGAAAAAAGAATCCCATGAAGGTGACTGAAAGAGTTGTTGGAGAGGTAAGAATAAATCTAAGGAAACAAAAGAAAAAAATGAGAGGAGAACTCCCATGAGTAGTCAGCAGTGTCACATAACCCAGTATAACCCAGTAAGGCAATATGACAATTTTGCAATATGTGGGTTTGAATGATCCTTAGTGATAACCAGTTGAGTAAAGTGGTGGAAGCAAAAGCCAAAAAACAGTGAAAAGAGGCATGAATAAGCAATAGAGAAGTAGAATGTGAATGTATAATTCTCTTCCTAAGAATCAAGTTCCCAAAGGGGGCGGATGAGAACGGATTGTGCCTAGATAGGTTATGAGGTTGAGTATTTGGGTATTTAAAGGCAGGAGAGATTTGAGCAATATTCTTTGTAGAGAATAAATAAATATTAAAGAAGATAAGGTTGAAGATTTAAGAGATGATGCATTTTTGGTAGTTAAGACTTCTAAGGAGTTGGGAAGAGGCGAAAGCTCCGGTCCAAATGAAAAGATTAACTAGAACTATAACTAAGGACCTACCTCTTCCATGGAGACTGGATGGAAATACAGGAGGAGAATGAATGTGTCAGGGACACTTGTTAGACATTTTGAACTTAATGAACTTGATCTTTTGTAGTAAACCATAGATCTAGGGTAAAAGAAGATGTGAAATGGGTTAGAGGTTTAAGAAGGTAGCTTAAAACTTTCAAGAGCTTTAAGGATGATGAGAAAATTGTTTTCAGGACAATTATTATTTGGGAACATTTGAGTCTTGACTTAATGTGGAGATTTAATTTTGAATGGGATGAATTTATATGATTTTATAGCTTCTTTAAGTATTAGGATGTAAGAGAAGAGAAGCTAGCTTTTTAGGCTGATATGTGATTGAGTTTTGATGAATAATGACAAAAAGACCAAAAAAATTGAAGAAAATGGGGAGACAATAGTTGTTGGGACATACAATGAAGTCTAGGTTGGATAAGGAACAAAGGGAAGCCAATAAGGATCTGGCTGGTGGAGAGACCTTTTTTGATAAGGGCTAGAGGAGGTTAAAAAAAAGTATGTTTGGGAATGTATATGTTTTCCAGAGTAATTTATTTAGATTAAAATTTCAGAGGTGGGGTAAGAACTTCTGGGTGGTTTCAAGAACCAAACTACAGCCATGGACTCAGGATGCTGATGTGGAACAGAGGTGAAGATCGGTGAAGATAATTATATTTCCGTTAGTTAAGGAAACTTTCAGTTTAGCCAGTGTTGTCATGTTCAACAGCACCAAAGAGAAATATGTAAAACAGGAGTGAAAATCTTCAGATAATATTGGTAAAAGACAATATTGAGGAAAGGGAAGGTAATAATCTAAACAGTATGACCCATGTTGGAAGTATTTTTTTAACTCCCAGTAAGTATTTATTGATAAACATGTGGAAGACACTACGAAGAATTTTTTTAAAAATGTGAAACAAATCAGTATTCCACTGTGAATGCCTTTATGACCAACCAAGTTGTTTATATCCAGGATCCACTGGGATTAGTGGTGTGTGAATGTATTTTTTTTTAAATAATGTGAAATGAGTAGTAGTTTGAAAGCAGCAATATGAGCAAGGAGAAGATTGATTGCACTTCCGCCCTATTTTAGGATTAGGATATGTGGAAAATTGGAACGATTAGTACTCATCATTGATTTGGGGCCCAAGAAGAGGTGGTGTCCTTGGTGAGTCAGGTTGCAGTTATATCAGAAAGCAGAGAACATTCAGCATACAGGCTGAGGATGACATGTTGATTTCCAGTGGGATAGGATTTCCTGTAGATTGTAGAGTTGGTAAAGAGGATATTATGAGGGAGAAAACATTACTCAGTTCTGAGATGAAATTTCATTCGCAAATTTAATAATTTTCATTATCTATTTTGTGCCAGGCACTGTGCAGTGAACAATTTGGTGTGGTCCTTGCTCACATTAAGCTAAACATAGCTGTTTAAATTTAAATTAATTTAAATTTAATACAATTAAAAATTCATTTTCTCAGTTAAACTAATGACATCACAGTGACTCTAGTATTGACATTACTACTGTAGAAAATTTCCATCATTGCAGAAAGTCCTGTTGGAGAGAGAGTATAAGAGAAAGCAGACAAATGACCAAACGGTCTTAAAGTCTAGAGAATAATGAAGGACACCAGTGGCTAAGGGGCTTACTATGATTAACTGGTTTTGAGATTCTGGATGGCACTTTGACTTGAGATATTTTCTTTCCAATGCCAGCAGAGACACAAAGTGAACTTTTTATAGCCTTCTACAGACAGTTTAATCCCCTGATGCTAACCAGTATCTTTCTTTACCATGATTTGCATTTCTCAGGTGTGGCCACCTGGATGGGGACTCTAAAGAAGTGTCCCCTATCTTCACCCAGTTCCTAGACTGTATTTGGCAATTAATGGAACAGTTTCCCTGTGCCTTTGAATTTAATGAAAGCTTTCTGCTGGAGATCCATGACCATGTTTTCTCCTGCCAATTTGGAAACTTCCTTGGAAACTGCCAAAAGGATCGGGAAGATCTAAGGTGAATTCATTTCGTGAGAAAACACTGAATAGAGAGAAGAATGCACTCACCACTCTGAATTTTAGACAGCATTCAGGGAAATGGGAGGAGATAACAATAATGAAAAGAGCTTTTGAATCATAAAGCACTCAATGTTTGCACAGGGATCTCTTGGAACCTCAGACTCCTCATCTGTAAAATAGAGATCATAATGCCTACTTTCCAGGGCAATCAGGAGGAGCCAATAAAATAGGGAATATACAAGGGCTGCTATAGGATCAGGGATGGTGAAGGGAAGGTACTGGGAAATGAGATTTATCAAATTGTGTGCATACATGAATATGACATAATGAATCCTGCTATTATGTATAATTATAATGCACCAATAAAAATTAAAAACATAGAATCAATCATTGAGGTATGAATGGTCATTACCCACAATCCTTTTCACTTGTATCAGAGATCACAAACTGACAGCTCATAGACCCAGCCCAGCCCAACAGTTGTGGTTTGTTTAGTCTGTGAGTATTTAAAATGTGAATTCAGTTGCCAATGTTTAAGTGTTAGAGAATTTAACATCAAATCCAGTTAATTTAGGATTTTTTAAAAAATAGATAAGCTGTTTTACCAAAATATTCTGAAAAACCAGGAACTCTGTCAACACTGGTCCTATATTCTCTTATATCAATAATTAACTAGAGCTAAATAGCAGCTCCTGCCTTTGAATGGGACAAATTCTCATTGGCTACAGTTCTTGCCACTCCCTATTGTTCAATCCTAGCCTACTTGTAATGTTATCTGTCCAGTTCTTGTAGTCAGTTTAACTTTGTCACCCTGGCTTGAACCAACATCCCCATGATGTAGAAAACATAAATAGTTTATGAGATTCACAAGGTGTGGAGCACCTCTGAGCATCACTCTTCTTATTTTAGAGGCAGAGAAAACATTTCACAACTATTGGCTGCGTTAACAGCTCAGGTTCTTGGGCCCTTTCATGACATTGCCTAGATGGCATCTGCTCTCCATGATTCCATTATTTTTCTTGACAACATAGAGAACAGCAATGAAGCTTTCTGCTTTAACGTGTATTTACTTAGATGCTTCCTTGCATACATACATACCTATCTATCTCCCTCCTCACTCTGTTTTGCCACAAGACCTTTGTCACTCACTCTCTCCCCAAATGATTTTACACCTGTTCTTTCTACCAACTGGCTGTCCATTTTTTCCATAATTTTTTCCCTTCTTAAAATGAGATTAATATATCTGGAACCATTTCCCACACAATTCTGAATCTCAATGTTAAAGTAGAAAAGTTGAACATTTTAATATATGTTAAAATACTGATTGCTTAAAATAAGCAGAACTGTCATTCACTCATGAAAGGAAAAGCATAAGCCTTAGTTAGAATAAGGTAGTCCAAAATACAAACTTTGAATCTGTCACCTATTAGCTATGTGAGCTTAGGCTAATTAATTTTTTATCTTATATTAGTAATTTAGAACTAAACACCTCACAGGATTTTATTATAAAGATTTAAGGAAGTATTTTGGATAAATAGTCTGGAACAGTAATTTGACACATAGGTAATAATAAATATTAGTTACCTTAACTCTGGAAGATTTGTTGTTGTTTTTAACCAGTGACAGATAAGGAAGATGGATATAAAGGGCCTTTAGCCTGACTGAAATGGTCTGTGGGTTGTAAAAGTTACAGGACCACAATTTTAGGTACTACCACCTATAGTACTCTTCTTCATTCGCCTCCTCCAGCTTTCTTCAACACAGTGTGTACAAATGACCTTTCCATGTATGGTTACATACAGATCTCATTGGAACCAGTGGATCCCATGTATTTTGAAGTGTTAAATAAGGAACTTCCTTATTGGTTGATCAGGTTACTTGCAGTCCTAATTAAAGTAGAAGAATCAGTCTTGCCATATAAATACCACAATCTTTGTTTACCTACCTGGGATAACTCAAAAATATTTGCTAGCATAAACTGCCAATTGTCTTTCACTGTCTTTAACCTTCTGAAGGGAGAAGAAACTGGAAACATGGGCGAACCATAAATATTCCATCTAGGATTTCCATTTCTTAAAATACAAGACGTTTTAAAAAATCCAATATTTTTTGTGGTGCTGGGGATTGAACCCAGGGCCTTGTGCATGCTAGGCAAGCACTCTACCAACTGAGTTATATCCAACCCCAAATCCAATATTTTTAAAACTGTAAAGGTCATCATTTCATAGAATCCTAGATTTGGAAGACATGCTAGAGGCAACATTGAACAGACAAGGAAACAGGCCCAGAAACAGCTAGGAAATTTTCTAAGATCATGTAGCCACATCCACAGCAAACACTGGACTTAGAACTCTTGCTATCTAATTTGGAACTCTTACTAACATTTTATTCATTTTAAAGATGGATAAATTGGAGCCCAGAAATCTGTTCCTCTACCAACATTCATTAGCCACTTATTTCAGTTTTCCTTCTTTCTTGAGTTGGGCTACTTATTAGTAATATTTGACTAAATATAAAGTTCAGCAGTACTGTTGAGATTACTTGCTTATTGTTTGTAATTTTTTGGCTTGTTTTTCTTTTCTAACAGAGTCTATGAGAAAACACATTCTGTGTGGCCTTTCTTGGTTCAGAGGAAACCAGACTTCAGGAATCCCCTCTATAAAGGTTTCACTGTATATGGAGTGCTCAATCCTAGTACTGTGCCCTACAACATTCAGTAAGTTTTTAAGTTCCCTCTATTATTTTAGCAGGCCCTGGGGTCTTAGCTGCCTTGCCTGTCCTTAGATAGCTGCCATCATTTTCACAAGCCTGGCTATGGAATAGGACAATCTGTCCCAATATGATTTATTCTTTGCCACCTCTTATAAGAGCTCAATCCTGTTTGTTTTTTTGGTCTGTGCTATTAGTTGCTGTATTAATTAGCTTCTTATTTCTATAATGACATACCTGAAGCAATTAACTTGTAAAGATAAAAGGTTTATATTGATTCATGGTTCTGGATGTTTTAGTCCAAAATCAAGTGCCACATTGCTTTGGTTCTCTGGAGAGGGCAGTACATCAAGGCAGAGCAAACTGCTCACCACATAAACCAGGAAGCAGAGCAATGAAAGAGGAAGAAGAAACCAGGGTCCCATAATCCCCTTCTAGACTATACATCCAATAACCTACAGATATCTCACTAGGCCCCACCTCCTAAAAGTTCCACAGCCTCACAATACCACCCTGGGCATCAAGCTTCCAAGACATGGACGTTTGAGGGAGCACTTATTCAAACCATAGCATGTGCTTGGGGAAAATAAAAGAGAAATAATAATTGACGTATAGGAATGTAACCAGTCAGGGATGCAGATTGTTTTATTTCTTTAGTCTTTCCATGTATCTTCTATTTTTCCTTTCCCATCCTTTTCTACAACAAAGAAAAAAATGAAAGAAATAGTGCTGGTAGTATGTGTTATATTTTTCCAAAGCCTCAACAGGCTGAAGTGCTCACAAACTGAGAGGAGGAGAATACATTTATTAGCTATAATAACTTATTTTGGAGGTTATTTAGTATTTTATAGTATATAAACTTTTTATCATTTCTGAATAGAGATGGATTTACTTTCTTTGAAATTTGGATGTATTTCCTTTTCTTAACTAATTATTCTGGCTAGAACTTCCAACGTAGTGTTGCATAAAAGTAGTATAAGCAGGTATCCTTGTCCTATTCCTAACCTTTAGTGTTTCTCCGTTGAGTGAAGTTAACTCTAGGTTTTTCACAAACACCCTCTCCATGTTTAGCACATCCCCTTCTGTACTTAGTTTGTTGAGTGCTTTCATGAAGAAAGGATGCTAGAGTATGTCAGATATTTGTCCTGTACCAATTGAGATGATTATGTGTTTTCCTCTTATTGCTATTAATGTGGTATGTTATATTGTTTGATTTTCATTGTGCTGAACTGCCTTTGCTTTCCTGGGGTAAATATCACTTACTCGTGGTGTATAATCCTCTTAATATGGTGCTCCATTTGGTTGCCTAGTATGCTGTTGAGAATTTTTGCATGTATATTCATAAAGAACATTGATCTGAAGTTTTGTTTTCTTGTGATTTCTTTAGCTTTAGTGTCAGAATAACGCTAGTCTTGTAGAATGAATTAGGGAGTTTTAAAATTAAAGCCTTAAAATTTATTCTTTAAATATTTCTTAGAATTCACCAGTGAATTTGTTTCTTGGGATGTTTTTGTTTCCTAATTAATGCCTCTACTTCTAGATCTGTTCAGATTTCTTATTTCTTCTTAGATCACTTTTCGGCAGTTATGTTTTTCTAGAAATTTATTTATTTCATCTGTTTAATTTTGACATAAAATTATTCATAGTATCCTCTTCTCATCTTTATTTCTGTATGATAAGGAATAATATCCCCAGTTTAATTTTTGGTTGACTTCTGTTTCTCCTTTTAAAAATCATTTTAGCTTAAAAATTGTTACTTATGTCGATCTTTTCAAAGACCCAACTTTGGTTTTATTGATCTACAGTTTTTCTATTCATTATTTCATGTATCTTTGTTCTAATATTTATTATTTCTTTCATTTTCTAGTTTTGGGTTTTATTTGCTCATCTATTTCTCTGTTGTTAATGTGTAATGTTATTGATTTGAAGTGCAAGTAAAAATTAAATTTGAAAACTATTAATTTCATGTATAGCAATAAATATCCCTTTTAGCACTGCTTTCTCTGAATCCCATGTTTTGGTATGTTGTATTTTTATTTTCATTCATCTAAAAGTATTTTTGGATTCCCTCACAACATATTCTTTGATCCAATAGTTGTTTAACAATGTATTGTTTAATTTTCATATATTTGAATTTTCCAGTTTTGTTACTGATTTCTAATTTATTCCATTGTAGTTAGAGAATGTATTTTTATTATTTCAAAGTTTTTGAATTTATTCAGTCATGTTCTGTGGCCTAATATATGTTCTGAACTGAAGAATGATGTGTCTTCTGACAATAATGTGTATGATTTGAGGAAAATGACTATTCTCTAATTATTGGATAGAGTGTTCTACATATATCTTTAGGTATGCTTGATTTATAATGTTGTTCAAGTCTCTGTTTCTTATTGATCTGTCTAGTTTTTTCTATTCTTTATAGAAAATGGAAGACGGGTGTTGTGGCACACACCTGTAATCCCAGTGGCTAGGGAGGCTGAAGCAGGAGGATCACAAATTGAGGCCAGTATCACCAACTTAGCAAAGCCCTAAGCAACTTAGACTCTGCTAAAAAAAATAATAATAAAGGGATTGGGGTGTAGCTCGTGGTAAAGTGCTTCTGGGCTCAATCTCTAGTACCAAAAAAACAAAAGGAAATAGAAAATGGGATATTGAAGTTTCCATTTTGTAACAATATTTGACTTAAAAGACTCATTTGTCCTTAGTAAAAACACACCAACTATTTTGGTTACTATTTTCATGGCATATATGTTCCTATCCATTTAATTTTCTCACTTTGAATCAAAAGGGAGTCTAGTGAAAACAACATTAATTTGGATCATGTATTTTTAAAGCCTATTTTACCAATCAAATTAGTAGAAACTGTTTAAGACCATTATTATGAAGAGTTTCTACTAATTTGTTTTTTCCCTATGAATGGGCAATACTTTTGTTTCTTTCTAGCAACTCTTAAAACTTTATCAAACAACAGATCAATTGAATATTATAATGTAGTAATCCTGGTAATCAGATTCTCACTTGGAAACTAAAGGGATTCTAGTGAAGTTTTTGTTGCTGTTTGTTGGGTTGAGGGTGCAATTGTTGGTTTAGTAGCTTTTTAAAAATATATTTTTAGTTGTAGGTGGACACAATGCCTTTATTTTTTTATGTATCCTTTGTCCTGTATATTTACTGAATTCTCTTTTGTACTAGCTTACTGGTCAGCTAGTAATATAACAGATAATTCCATTTGTGTCTCCCAAAAATATTTCCCAGTTTTTGTGGATTGGCTTTATGTTGGTGTACACCTTCAATGCTTAGCCACACCATTCATAACTCTGCCTTGGTCTTCATTTTCTGCTTGTATATAACCTAAAAATCAGCCACAGATGAAAGATTAGTGTCTTAAATATTTTTGAGTATGTGTTCAGCCCTGAGCAAGTGCTTAGACTTCTATATTCTCTGATATATGCAGGAGCTTTTCAAAGCCCTTATTCTCCTATCTATCTCCTTCCCTAGTTGCTTCCTTTTCAGGATTTTCATTCTCTGCTGATTGTCCCATCTATCATCAGGTGGCTGTCACTGGTATACTGTCAACAAATATCATACAGGCTACTATGCTAACTCTGTAAGACATTTCCAAGGTGGACAAAACAAAAAACAAGGCCCTGAGCCCATCCTTGCGGGCCAGGAGACAATTGAAAATATATAATCACAATTTTTGAGATTAAGGTCTATATTGCCCATCTGGCAGCAGAAATTTACCTAAGCAAAGTGGCCCACCATACCCAAGGTTACCACTAAGTTGGGTTATGGAATAGCAGGGAGATAAATCAAAATGTTTTAGCAATCTCTTACCAAAATTTTGTTGCTTCTTCTTTCATTATGCATTCCCCTGATTATTTTAAATTTTATTAGATTCTAGAGTTTTGGAAAATGTAATTCTTATAGTTTTTGCTTGCTTAGTCATTCTTTTAGTGGAAGGATAGAGTTTTGAAGTTCTCTACTCCATGATGTTATCAATGTTATCTACTTCAACAATGTTATCAATGATAGATATTTTTTGTCACCATTATTATTACTGGGTTTGGGTGTTACAGGTGGGGGTTCCAGTTGGGGAATTGATATAGTTTACATGTGATTATTGATAAATGTAATACCAGAAATTCTTCTGCATTTCTTCAGAAATCAAAATTAAATCGAGTGAAAACTGGAATAGATATATTTCCCCTACTCCTCCCACTAAGTAAACTACCCCTGTATATCATAAAACCAATATTAAACTACAATAAAAGACACATAGAAGGAGGCAAATTGAGTAGACTTCACAAGTCAGAAGAAACAATATGATGGCAAGTTCTACGGTTTTCTTTTTGTCTCGTATGTCCCAGACTTGGACCTAAAGAAGGTGGTAGCACAGAAAAGCCAAGGGCATGAAAACCCAAAGAATCCTGTTCTGTCTAGCTAAAGAACCAGGAAAGAGACAGCCTACTAAGACAGAAATCCTTAGACAATAATAGCTGTCTTCTTGTTATACCCTACAGAAAGAAAAAAAAAAAAAACTGGCACCCCAACCAATCCACAAAGGCCAAATTAGGAGTCAATATTTCTGCCCTCATCAAGCTGGAATAAACACCTAAATATCCCTGTACCTCCCCACTGGTGGTGTTAGAGAAGGCCAAATGGGGATTGGGATTTTCATCCCCAGTGTGTACTTCCCTGTCGCGACCCCTTGCCCGCAAGGAAGACGCAACTCAGGAATCTTCTTTCAGCAGTTTATTCAGGCCCTTGATATTTCTTCTTCTCTCTCTCGGATGCCCCTCCCAGCCTTAATAAAGCATCTCAAGCCCCAATGCAAAGCTGCCATGTGGAGCTTTCTCATAGGGTGGTGAAAAACCATGCGCCAACTCTTCCAAATAAGGAGTTGTTTGTCACAGACCACAGCGGAGCCAGCGCCATCTTGTAATGGCGACCATAGTCTGCAGAAACGGCAGAAGCGGCTCACCACAGTTCCCCCTTTCTGTTTTCTTAAAACAATACAGGCGAGAGTAGAGGTCCTATCCCACTGTGCAGAAGTGGCTGCATAGTATGGCTCAGTCCTAAGGAGGGCCCTTCCCCAGATCTGAGGCCATATCAGCCGACGCCTTTTTTCATGGGGCGGGGCGTGGACGCGTCTAACCCGCATGCAATAGGACATGCTCTCCTTGAGGTCCACGTCAAGGATCACTCAAGTGCAGTGCCTTGCCTCGCATCCTGTATCGTGACGATGGTGGATGAAGGGAGATAGCTGAGGCTGAACTGTGGCTGTTTATAACGACAAACAAGTTGACAGCACCCTGAAAGAAAGGCACGGACTTTAAGGCGATAGAAAAGCACTAGTGTGGAAACCCATCTGCGTGCAATGGCAGTAAGACCGGCAGAGTGCAAGGGCTTTCCAACACTAAGAGAATAACAAGGAAAGTCATGTCGATCCCAGTGCAATGTTATAATAACTTGGGGTGTAACGACCATGTCAAAGGTTTACTGTTTAAGATGCGCAAGCCAGACATGAGGTGAGTTGCCATTTTCTAAAGCTGCAAGAGCTTGTATGATCATAGCCTTATCGTGAGCACTGCGGGCCTTAAGGCGACAGAGAAACCACAAACAGAGGAACATACCGAAGCAACACATTGCACCAAAAATGCCTACCCCCACCCACTCTTTGAAGAAGGAAAAAGCAGAAGATATCCAATCGGTGAATTGACCCAAAGTCACGGGATTGACACGGGTACTGTTCAAGACAGCTATCTGGGTTAGTTGAGACTGGATCATGTCTTCCGCTGCCATGGACCAATTTCCGGCCAAATATTCGCCAATGATGCGGGAGGCATTCCTGGAATCATTAAATCTGACAGAGGTTATGCATAAATGTGCACGTTGATCAATACAACCCAAATGTACTAGATCAGACAATTCCTCAACTTGAGCTTGAAGTAGATCTATCCTTTGATTAGCAGCCAGAATCCCAGATAAAATATGTTGATTAACTCTACTTTGAGATTCAAGTATGGTGGATGTTTGTTGAATAACCTGATTAATAGTGGCAGCAGTTTGTACTTGGCTGGCCATGGCTACTCCAGCTGTAACTGCTGCAGCAGCAGATACCGCCACAGCTTTCACTATAGCTGCCGTAATTCCAAAATCTCTACGGGCTCTAATCAGTTCAACAATAGGAAATGACTCTGGATCTGCAGTAACCGGGATCGGGACAAAAGTTGGGATTTTCATAACCATTGCCATAGTCCAGGAGCCATTCCAACACTCAGACAAATAACAGGTAATATTAGAACAATTAAGCATCCCCTGTGATGTAACATTAGCCAAAAGAAACAGGAACGGAGATTGGAGACAGACTGCTGCAGAGGGTAATGTAGCATTAAACAATTGTGAATTGTGTGAAGTAATTTTAAGCCTCCTACCTCGCTCCGAGTCTTGGGTACTGCCAGAAACATTAAACAGCCAACTTTGGACTCCTAATATTTCCCTGGGGAAACACAAGCGCGGACTAGATTAGCCCAATCTGAGGGAGTCATGCAAAATCTAGTAAGTCCCTCCACCTGAGTGAGAGTGAAAGCGGCATCTATGCCATAAGTGCGGACAGATTCTGCCAAGGTTTTAATTATCTTAAAGTCTAAAGGCTCATGATATCTTCCCCTGTTATTGTCCTGAAATACAGGGTATGCAAGTCCCATATCTGTATTAACTGTCCTCCAAACTTGTGCATGAAAAGATCTCCCGGAACCTTGGCTCCCCCCCACATACGGAGGTGGGGCAATCGGCACCATATCTTCTTCTAGATATTCTACCTCCTCCTCCTCAGAGTTTTGTTGACCGATGTTAACTCCCTTCCCCTTCTTACAGTAGGCCTGCGTGCCCTGTGTCTCCTTTTTCTTCTTTTTCATTTTTATCTTATGTAGTTGTTGTAACAATATATCAAGGTCCTCAGAACTCTCTGAGTCGCTTGTGTTCTCAGGCGTTTTTAATTCGGTCAAGTCTGGGTAGAGCCTTCTCCTATTTTTATCTTCAGGCTCTTTTGCCTTCTCACTACTGTTACTTTTAATACTCTCTGCCACTTCACTACATGATCCTTCAGATTTTTCCTCATGCAGTTGCTCAAGAATAGCTTGACCCTCACTCACAGCTTCCTGGCATTTACCATCTGTAAGGCAACTACGGACCATTTTCCAAAGGGGTATCACCCCACCCTCTAATATGCCCTGCTCAGAAGCAAAGTCAAGATCTTTGCCTAATTTATCCCAACTAGGTATAGTAAGGCTGCCCGAAAATGCAAACCACGGTGCAGCGATATCTATCTTCTGTAAAAATCTCTGTAAAGTACTATGTTTCACTTCCAGGCCCTTGGAACGTAACAGGCCATCTAGGGCCAGGAGAAGCGGACTTGAAGATGTGGCACCCATGACACAACAACAAAAGAAACACAGAAAACAAAAGCGAAATGACACAACAAAAGAAACACAGAAAACAAAAGCGAAAGTAGAAGCGAAAGTACATAGTGCAGCTGCAATAAAATGTAATGCTCTCTCTTTCTTTACAGAGGAGCTGCCCCGCTTTGGTCGCGGATCCCACTTACCTGGGACTAACCCCGCTTTGATCGCGGATCCCACTTATTGGGACTAACCCCGCTTTGGTCGCGGATCCCACTTACCTGGGACTAACCGGTACACCACCCCTGACTGCTGAAAGTTCTGGTTCCCGGGTTTCGGCACCACTTGTCGTGACCCCTTGCCCGCAAGGAAGACGCAACTCAGGAATCTTCTTTCAGCAGTTTATTCAGGCCCTTGATATTTCTTCTTCTCTCCCTCGGATGCCCCTCCCAGCCTTAATAAAGCATCTCAAGCCCCAATGCGAAGCTGCCACGTGGAGCTTTCTCATAGGGTGGTGAAAAACCATGCGCCAACTCTCCCAAATAAGGAGTTGTTTGTCACAGACCACAGCGGAGCCAGCGCCATCTTGTAATGGCGACCATAGTCTGCAGAAACGGCAGAAGCGGCTCACCACACTTCCCTTCCTCTAATGTTAGTGAGACCATGTGGAGAGCCTGGACTTCTACTTTCACTCAATAGGAATATGGTATTTGTCCCCCTTCCTACTTGGATAGTATCAGAAGAAGCCTTTTGAGAGTCAGGAATTTCACCACCACCCAGCATTAATGAGGCCATGCCTTGTGGCATCATTGGAGGTATCATGGGGAAAGGTAATGAGGCATATCTGTGCATCTTATGATGTTATCAGCATATGTCTAGTGGGAATCCTGCCACTTTTCTTCCATTTAGTAGTACTTTTGAGGCCCTCCCCAACTCAAGTGTCAATATAGGCTAAGTGAAGAGCTTCAACTTATACTCCCTCCTGACCTATAATGAGGAGGAACTTCCTACTTTGTTGTCCCAAGCCAGAAGAGGGCCATAGGAAACAAGCCTGGTTAAACAGAAAATCTAATTAAAATTCAGAGACTCTTAACAACATTCCCCAAATGTCTATTTAATGTGAAAATCAGTCATCAGAACAAAAATGTGGAAAATATCAACTTGAATGAAAAAGGTAGTACATGCCAATACAAGATGACAGTGATGCTAGAATTATCTGACAAATATTTTAAACAGCAATCTTCAAGATTCCTCAAGAAGCAATTCAAACTTACTTGAAATAAATTTTTATAAGTCTCAGCAAAGAAATTGAAGATACCCTGGCATGGTAGCACATGACTATAATCCCAGCTATTCAGGGGACTAAGGCAGGAATATTTTAAGTTGAGGCCAGCCTGGGCAAATTGGTGTGAAACTATCTCCAAAAAATTTTTTAAAGGGCTAGGGATATAGATCAGTGGTAGAGTACTGACCTGCATGTGTGAGGCCAAGGGTTTAATCACCAATACTACCAAAAAATAAAGAAAAACTGAAGATATGAAAGAACCAAATGGAAATCGTATAATGGAATAATACAGTAACAGCAATGAAAACACAATAGGATCAATAGCAGAATGGAAGGGAGAAATGAAAGAATTTGAACTTAAGTAAAAATAGGAGTAAGAGGGGGAAAAGTGTAAGAGAAAACTGACTGAAAAAAAAAAAAACAAACAAAACCTCAGTGGGACAATAAGAAACAAACTAACCCTGGTATCACTGGACACTTGGAAGTAGTGGGCAAAGACAGAGGTGCTGAGGGAATACTCAAAGCAATACAGTTATCTCTTAGAATCCAATGGGAATTGATTCCAGAAACACTACCCGCTGTGGAAACCAAAATCCATGAGTGCTCAAGTCCCTTACATAAAATGGCCTAGAATTTGCCTATAACCAGTGCACAGTCTCCCGAATACTTTAAATCATCTTATAATACCTAATACAATGTAAATGCTATATAAATAATGGTTATACGGTATTATTTTATACTAACAAAAAATCTGTACATGTTCAGTAAAGATCAACCATCATAGGCCTAATTACATTTGTTTTTGATAGTAGCGATGGAATCCAGAGATACTCAACCACTGAGCCACACATCCCCAGCCCTTTTTATTTTGAGACAGGGTCTCACTGAGTTGCTTAGGGCCTCCCAAAGTTGCTAAGTCTTTCTTTGGACTTGTCATCCTCCTGCTTCAGCCTCTTGAGCCACTGGGATTGCAGGTATGTGCTACTACTCTTGGTCTAACTACACTTTTGTTCAGCAAATGGTTGAATTTACAGATGCAGAACCTATAGATATGGAGGATAAGTGTAATGGCTGAAAATATCCCAAATATGGTAAAAGACATAAACCTATAGATTCAACAAGATGTGTTACTATCAAGTAGAATAAACCCAAAATTCACACCAAGAAATATCATAGTCAAACTTATTAAAACAACAAAAACAACAACAGAGAAATGACACCTTAAAAGGGAAAACCATTCAAATGACAACAGATTTCTCACCAGAAATCAGGGAAGCCAGAAAGAAGGTCTCATTTTAAGCACTGAACAAAAAGAACTATCAATGGAGAATTTTTAACTGATGAAAATATCCTTCAGGATTGAAAGAAAGATGAATACATTTTCAGATGAAAGTAAACTAAGAATGTATTGGTAGCAGACATACCCTAAAAGAAAAGCCTAAAAAATTTCTCTAATGAGAAAGGAAATGATAAAACAAGGAATCTTGAAACATCAGAAAGGAAGAAGGAACAATGGAAAGAATAAAAATGTGTAAGTATGATAGACTTTCTCCTCTTGAATTGTCTAAATTATTTAACATTAGAATCAAAAAGTAAAACATTGATGATATGGCTCTACATATATAGAGATAAAATATTTAAGACAATTTTAAATGGAGGAGAAGAAAGGGATGTAAAGAGAAGAAGGGTTTGTACACTTCACTCAAACTTATAAAATATCAATACTAGTAGACTGTGATAATCCACTCATACACACACACATGTGTGTGTGTATGTATAAACATATATATATATATATATATATATATGTGTGTGTGTGTGTGTATGTATGTATATATAAATAAATTATACTGCCTAGAGAAACCACTAAAAAGTCTGAGTTAAATTCAAAAACATTTTAATGAAAACAAAATTTAAAAATATATATTCCAGTGCTGGGATTGTGGCTCAGTGGTAGAGCACTTGCCTCACACATAGGAGGCACTGGGCTTGATCTTCAGCACCACATAAAAATAAATAAATAAAAAAATGTATTGTGTCCATTTATAAATATATATATGTATTATATATATATAATATATATGTGTGTATATGTATATATATGCATATATATATATATATATATATATATATATATATATATATGTATATATTTCAGTAACCTACAGGAAGTCAGGGAAAGAAAACAGAAAAGAGAATGAATAGAGAAAATAATAATATAGAATTATTAAGTTCTAATATCATAGTTATATATAATTTAAATGATCCACATATACAAATTAAAAGATAAAGATTAGAAGAGTGGATAAAATTAAAACACTTTATGCTGCTATAAGTAACTTGCTTTAAATATAATGACATAGGTAGATTGAAAGTAAGAGGATGGAAAGATATATATCATGAAAATGTAAATGAAATCAGGAATGGCCATATTAATATCAGATACAGTAGACATCATAAAAAAGAAAATTACTGTAGACAAAGAGACAATATAAAATGATAAAAAGGTCAAGAATAATAAATATTAACCTTAAATATACATGATCTAAGCAGCAGAGATATAAAATATGTGAAGCAAACAATGACAATACTGAAAGAAGTTATAAAGAGAGCTACAGAGTTGGAGATACCAATACTCCTCTCTCAACAGTCAATAGAATATTCACACAGAAAACCAGCAAGGAGAGATAAGAAATTAACAACACAGTCATTCAGCAGGATCTAATTCCTATGTGTATACCAGTCTACTCAAAAACAGAAGAATACACATTATTTTCAAGTACTCATAGAACAAAATACCAAGATAGATCATGT